CAGCATTTCAGTGATATTGTGAATTTGTGTGAGTGAATATATCCATTCATTCATTTTATAATTACTTACATTTTATCACCTATCATATTTATCACCAGCCATGCATCAAACTTTGTTGAAGGAGATGAATGAGTGATATTTTACCTGATCAAAGCAGAGCTCTGACTTGATAGTGTACCTTTTCCCCAAAATCATGCTATTGATAGATTAATATGCAGTAATAGCAGTTCATGAAAACTTAATCCCTTGCAGTTGTGATTTGTCATCATAACTGAAGACATTATTTTGGAAGAGAGTAAAATATTTCTATTAGCTTTTAATTTTGTTCAATATACAATCTGTCCTACATGGAAGAAAATCTGCAATATGGTTCTTCAGCTGAGGATGGCTTTCAAAATCAATCAGCAAGGGACTGGCAGGTGGCATGGGGATTGAGGTATGCTGGACTCCCACATGGTCAACTGAGGTTCAAGTCCTAGACCTGGTGGCTTGCTTCATCACTTTCCTTCTCTCCTTTTCTCTGTCTCTCTCTGGTCAAATTTAAAAATAATAATAATAAATAAATTATTAAAAAATCAATAAATATTTGAATGCCTAATATATGCAAGAGACACTGTGTTAGGTGCTCTATGAGGTATAGTCTTTGGCTCTTTTCTCCTTTTCTCTTGATATACTCTCACTGATGACCTTCCCACTATAGCATGTATTTAGATAACTCCCAAAATATACCAACTCAAATACCTTATCATCTCCTAAACTCCAGGACTGTATTTGCAAATGCTCCCAAATAGCATAATCCTAAAACCTCAATCTATCAAGAAAAAAGTTTTATTTCCCTCTTATGGAGGTGTTCTTTTACCATTTATGAAAGGATTCAGAGGGGGAATGACTGGAGCAATCAAGGAGAAATTTCAAATAGTCTTTTTTTTTGGGGGGGGGAGGTTTTTGCTATAGGGCACATGCGCTTGCCAGAAAGACAGAGAGACAGAAAGCGAGAAATCACACCCCGGGGGGATGGCCACGCCACAATCCCTTCTCCTCCATTATCCTCTTGGGATCTTGGGCACACATGCACATGTGCCCAGCGTGAGTTTAAGCCACCAGATCTGGGACTTGAACGACAGTCAACTACATAGGAGTCCAGTGACATAGCCATTACGCCAACTGCCGATCCTTCAATAGTCTATTTTAGTAATCCAACCTCAGAGTACATAAAATTTGAGCTTGTATGGTGAGCATGGAAAATAAGGGACAATTCTAAGAAATTCTTCTGGTTAAAATATTGGCAAGGATTGGTATTAAATAATATCGTGTTTATCATGATTTGACTGTCACTCCAAGACTTGGAGTTTTAATAATGGGAAGGTAATAATGTAATTGTTAATAGTAAGGCACATTATTTGGCTTCTCAGAAAGCAGTCAACAAAATTGACTTAAATGTTAATGGAATTTTTACAGTGACAGCCAAGCAGTGTTTTTCATTTGTGAAGTTAGTATATTACTTAACCTTCTCACAACTGTAGAAGCAGAGACTGAAAAAACAGGAAGTAATATTTATGAACACAATTATTTGGCTTCTTTCTAGTCATCAAAGCAATACTGTTCTATAAGAACTTCCCTACTATATAGGATAGGAAAACTGAAGACCAGAAAATTAGATAGACTATTTTCATACAGTCAAACCATGTAAAAGTGTCTGGATTCAGCCATGTTGGATTGAAATTGTTGCTGTGGAGCACCCTATCTGCTCCTGCTACCTCTGTCCCTTATTATCTGGCTATAGTGTGGGTAGCATCAGATCAGGGGAAGAAATTTCATACATCCTCATTCCCTGGAACAAAAGCAGCAGCCAAACAATAAAGCACACCAAATTGGCACCTACTTCCACCTTCATTAACGTCAACATTGTTTACCTTATGACAGACTTAAAATCTTAGAACCTTCTTTAATTTTCTCCTCCTAGTACTGGTCAGTTGCTAAGTCTGCAGATTCTTTTCTAATTCTGCCTCTTGTACCTGTCACTTCCTTTCTCTAACTATTGTCAATATCCTCCCTCATTACCTGTTTCTTGAGCCATGTTGATAAGTTACTAATCTCTCGTTCATCCAAACATAGTTGCTATTCCTAGTAAGACTGAAGAGGCAGTATGTTATAGTGGTTGAGAGTCTGGGCTCTATAGCCTGAATGCCTGAATTCAAACTTCTTGGTTTCCAACATACAAGTAGACTTCGTGTAAGTTATTTAGTATTACAGTGCTTCACACTCCTGATCATTAGAATAAGAATAATGATAATATTTTCCTAGGATTATACTGATAATCAATTCAGATAATATATGTATAATACATGGGTAATAAAGTGTGTGGCACAAAGTACTCAATGAATGTTAATTGCTATTGTTATTGCTACTGTTACTATTAAAGAATACTTTTGGTCACATTATTTAATTATTTAAAAATATGTATATCAGTTGGACTTGGTAATGCATGCCTGTAATCTCAGCTATTCAGTAGACTGAGGCAGGAGGATTTACTAGTTTCTAGCCAGCCTGGGTAGTATCTTTGTATAGTCTGTAGGCCATGGTTGAAATATAAAGCTCAGGAATGATAAAAGTGTGAATAAAGACACGTGTAATTAGATCTAAAGCAAGTTATAAATCTATTGTTTAAGTTCTTTGTTGATATGGGACTGAGGGCTCCCTGGGGAGCTGGGTCCCTATGAACTCTGAGAAGTATGACTGCAAGGATGAGTCTATGGTGCCTATCATCTGGTCAAAGTAGCTTGATGGATGTTTTTAGCCATAAGGGAGACTTAAAAACTACTCCCTAAACAAATAATAAATCAAGTTTATATCTTCCATGAGAAAGAGACAGAGAGAAACAGAGTATGAGAAAGAGAAATGCAACTCTAACAGTGTCCTCTCACCACTGTCCACTCCCAGAATCAGCCAGTCTGAATCAGCTCTGTGTGTGTGTGTGTGTGTGTGTGTGTGTGTGTGTGTGTGTGTGTACATATCCAGAATATTCAGGTAGGCCTCAGGACACAAACCTTCCTGATGAGCCCAGCACTACAGAGCAGTGTGTTACTAATATGCCACTGTCTGACTCCTCCACAGTGTTTTTAAAGTGCACTTATAATATATTCCCATTTGTATTTCTTCCACTGTAAAGCCTTCATTAAACATTGTAGTCATAGAGTTTAAAGTTTTTTTTCCTTCTTCCAGCAAACATCTCTAGAACTTAATTTCTGTTTACCTATCTAGAGACATGTGATGGTTTTATTGCCAGCTACAGTTTTCAAGGATTGTGTTATGAGTTTCAGGCTATATTGTAAGCTTTTTGTTAATAAATGTGTGTTGTACTTGCCATGTTAGTACTCAAGAAACAAGAGAACAATTTGTATAATCCTATCTTACCTATATAAAAAAAAACCCTTGGTAATAAATAATGAAATCTACATAAATACAGTAACAGATGAATATTTCTAGCATACTTTTATACATCTGCCTATCAAAAACACGAAACCATATAAAAAACCTCTCAAAAAAACCCAGACAAATAAAAAATAAGCTATATATACAAAAGCAAATGTAATTTAGGTTTTTAATGATTTCTTTTTTGGGGCCAGAAAGTGACAGAGTGGTAAAACACAATGCTTTGCAAGGAAATCCCACAAGGTAAGGTTCCTGGTTCAGATCTGGAGACCTCCTAGAGTACTTTGGGTACATGCTTCCCTATGATCCAGGGCTAGCTGAGGCCTGGGGTTAGATTTTGGTTGGGAGTGCTCTCTCTCTCTCTCTCTTCCTTCCCTCCCTACTCCTTTAGAAGTGATAAATAAACTTTAAAAGAAAAAATAAAAACTTCTTTGTTCTGTTAGAGAGCCTATGTATGTTCATGTGTATACACCCTCACTCTACCTCTCTCCCAGAATTCATTTGGTAAATGAAAGCTAGTTAAGTAATTTGGAGCTATAGGAAATTAAAAACTAAAAATAATTATTATCACAGGAAGTATACCAAAGGGAATATAGAATGTGCACCAATAGTGTGAAACAAGTAATTAAGATGAGAGTTGAACTGTTTTGAAGAAAACTAATATAGAATTCTTGAATAATGTACTTGAAAGTAGGTTCATGTGATTTTTACCATAACCTAATTATTTAACATCAACATCTATCGAGTAGGTGAAAATTTTTAGAGCTTATATAAATATTTAATGCATTTTATGAATAGAAATCATAGGTTTAAAAATTATTAAATGTTCAATCAGAGGTAGTCTTCTGATTTCAAACAGCATAGTAATAGGTAATTTCTTAGAAAATGTTTCACTTATATTTTCTGTCATCATGTACATCTTTTATCTGTGGCCCAGCTATTCTCTCAAGTGCATTTCATACCTATAAATTTTCCTAGTTCACCTCAGGGATACATTTTGGAATTTGAATGCCGTTGATGGCTAATGATTATACACTTTAACATATATCAACAGTTCAGCTTCAATAAAATTCTATTAATGCTATAAGGATTATTTTATTTATCTTTTTTATTTTTTGAAGAGGTTTTTGCTATAGGGTGCGTGTGCTCTCCAAACAGACAGAGAGAGACAGAGAGCCAGAAAGTGAGAAATTACCCCCGGGGGGGATGGCCATGCCACAATCCCTTCTCCCCCATCCTCCTCTCAGGATCTTGGGCACGCATGCACACGCGCCCAGCGTGAGTTTTAAGCCACCGGGTCTGGGACACGAACTGCGGTCGACTACATGGGAGTCCAGTGACATAGCCATTATGCTAACTGCTGGTCCCTATTTTATTTATCTTTTAAAAACTTTATAGCCAACTACTTTTTATGCTTTGATAGCATATTCCTTTGGATTCCAAAGCAAACAAAAACACTTTTAAAAATCCAGACAAAATTCACTTTAGGCAGAAGTTTTACATTATTGTCTATGAGAAAATAACAGATTTTAAATGTATGTTCTTACAGAGGATTCCTTATCTTACAGATGAGTTCAGTGAAAATGTTACGCCCACGTCTCAACAGCATTCTTTTCAAGCTCACGTTTGAAGAGCATGTAAACAACATCAAACCAAGCATCATAGCAGTAACTCTTGCCTGTGAAGAACTGAAGAAAAGTGAAAGCTTTAACAGACTTTTAGAGTTTATTCTTTTGGTCGGAAACTACATGAACTCAGGTTCAAGAAATGCCCAGTCTTTGGGATTTAAGATCAACTTCCTCTGTAAGGTAAGATAACATTTCATAATGCTAATTTGCAACAAGTATCTTCTTGTCTATGAGAGGAGTTACTAGATAGAGCAATAGTACATAAACCACAAGAGTGTTTGTACACTGTAAAAGTATAAATTATATGGTATGGGAATTATATCTCAATGAAAATAAATATTTAAAATTTGTATTGCACTAAAATACAAAAGATTATGCAAATTCTTTTGTAGTATGTAGTACTTAACTCTGGCTGATTACATTGCAATGAAATTTATAGACTGAAAAATAATTTTGCTTTTATACAATAGATACAATATTGTATTTCAATCCATTTATACATAATTTGTGTCCCTGAAAGAAGTAGTTGAGTAGCAAAATTCAAGGAGTGTATAGAAATTTATTTTTGAATATGATCTGCTTATTCTACTATAAGAAAATGATAGTCTTCATTGTCAAATAGTGTAATATCACTAAGTTTACTGGCTATCTCATGTATTACCTAAAAGGTTAAAAAAAAAAAAGATGATCATCCTCTTAATTGGGTCATTTCATAGTATTGTTTTTGAGACTTAAGTCTTCCAAGTTAAGAAAGAAAATGACAAACTCAAAAGGAAAAAGAAACAGAGAAGCCCTCCCACCCCTGCAAAAGACAGAGAAACCCCAAAGTGATTATATGTATCCATTTATAGAGTAGAGCAAACCATCTTATTCTAGAAGATCTGTCTGTTTCAGAGAAGACTGAACAGATTCAGAGGTGAAGGCCTGTGAGAAAGCTAGAGACAAAAATAAATCTGAAAACAAACAATCTATCTTTGACATCTCACCATTCTTTCACTTTTTTTCTCTCACATCTGAAAACAATGCAGAACATTGGTTAGTTCCTGAAGTATATTATAACAAGAATTCCAGTTCTAGGAATGGATATGGATTTCTTTTCTATTCATGTATTTAATAGATGTGCATTGCATATAGATGGACTAACATATTAATAAGTATCAAAGGGATTTTATCCTATTAGTTGTAACTTAAATAGGCATAAAGAGTGACATTTATAGGTAATAGATATATAATAGAATTGTGAATATCTCTTTACTCCTGATATATTTTTGAAGGGTATAAATAATAAAAGTGAATAGTGAAGATCATCTGAAATTGCTAGATTTGTCAAGAAAACATTTTTACTCCCTCTTCTTTTGATATTTGGGGACATGTAAAGTGATCTGATAATGCTAGAGAGAATATGACAATTATTACAATAAATGAAATAAATTATAATCAGATTTATAGGTTAAAACTATTTAAGATTTTTTCATATTCCATAAACCCAGTACTAATAAAGGCACCTCTTAACAAGATGTTACTTTTTAAAAGTACATGCTATAGGCACAATGAAGGAATATAAAAGGCTTCTTGTGTAATGATTATAAAAAAATTGTATATTAAAAGAAATATTGCTAGAATATTATATTATATACCTGTTTCACATTTTATTTTTATTTAAAAATATATTTTAAACAAATTATCCTTACTTGAACAAATGTATGCCTTTATTTTTACATGTCTTAAAATCACACTGTTCGTATTAATTACATGTACTAATTTCTTCGAAGCAAGACTGAGTAACTCATTTATACATAGGAACAAAAAGATTACATTAATTTCAGTGAAGGATTTTACAGTTACATCTTATATTTTGGAGAGGCTTCTTCCTGTCATCTACCTGTCAAATAAAAGTTCTTCCACACAACGCTGATCTGACATCTATCACTAGAGGTATACTCAAAGGATTCAGCACAAAGATTTTTGCCAACTACAAATAAAATAAAAAATAATCTTGTGGGAAATACTATTATGTAGTAATAGGTGTTCTAAAAGAAAAAGAAGTGAAGGTTTTACTCCCCCACCCCCTCTGTGCTTTTCAGTAGGGTTTTTATCTTCTGAGAAATACTTCTAGGAAAGGACTTGTCATTACGAAAGAGAAATATAATATACATACATGATATTCCCATAATGTCTAGGATTAAAAGGGTGTTTCTGGAACACAAAGGGTTCTGAATATACGCCATGGTGTAAAATGACAGAAATTTACTGAAGTACATAAAAGTAGTTCTTAAGTCTGTAATCTGTTCAAAATGGAATTAACTAACTACTGATATGTGATAAATTAGAATTGCTGTTAAATTTCAGTTACATTATAAAAGATAACTTGGTTGATTTTTCCGAGTGATATTTTTTTCTTAGAAAATGAAAAAATAACTTGAAAATTTTCATTGTAGAGCACTGATTATACTTTTAAAATGATACCATTTACTGACCCATATTTTTCTAGTGATAATTTCTCTTCTCAAGGATTTTGAAATTGTAATCTACAGCTTTTCATAAGAAGTTACAGAGTATGTTAAAAGTTTTACCTAGTTAAAAAGGAGCAATGGTATAAGCAGTTAAATTTATCAGATGTATCTTGTTATAAGGCAATATCAAAAATTTAGATGGTCATAATTAGCTGCTGCGTTATTTGGAAAGGAAAGGAAAACAGATGGGTTAACCAAAATGTCAAATAACATTAAAGGGTATCATTACTATAAGTACTACCCTCACCACAAAATGCTTTGTTAATTTGCAGCAGTGAATTATCACTTTGTGAGTCACCAAACCAGAGTGCTGAATCATAATAAAACTCATATCTGTGAAGATGAGTTCTCAATGTTAGTAAGGCCTGTGCTTGCCTATTGGTTGTTATAATTCTAACCAATACCAGTACTATTCTTCAAGGCCATTTTTTATGTTTGTTTTTATTAAGTAATATCATATACAATCTACATAAGAACAACACGTTTAAAAATACTGAGCTTTATGTTTGGGTCATGTAAGAATCTCTTTGTAAGGAACACTAAATGACTCTTCCTGATTCAAGTAAAATATGGAATTTATTTGAAGGATATGAGGTAGTAATGCCAGAAACAGGAAAACCTGAATAACTTGGCCTTTTAAAAAAAAAGCAACTATGGCAACTTTGAGAATTTAGGTAGCAGCAAGGAATTGAATCTTTTCAAGAAGTGGCCTTTGAGATGTATCAGCTCCAACTTTTTTCTTCTTCTTTTTACTGTTTTTGATTCAAATTCTAATTAGAAAGAGAAACTGATCATCAGCCTAGGATAGATTACAAGAGCACTCCTTTTGCAAGGAAGGGACAGGAACTCTGAGTGATAGCACTACCAGTACTATCTACAATGCAAGATTGGTCATAGTCTAAATTATACTGTTACCAAAGATAGAGATACCAAAGGTTAGAGGCCAGTGAAGGGATATTAGGTAACAAATAAAGACAAAACAATAAATGATGTATATTCACTGGTGACCTGCAAACAATACAGAAGACACACAGACACCTTGAGAAGCTTGTGGTAATGTTAAGTGGCCAAGAAATATACATACAGAATATTATATAATGTCACAAGGTACATTGTCCATGAATTCACAGGTTGATAACCATTAAGATTAGTAGGAGTTCAGAGGAATGAGGACTCTGGTGATTGGGGCATGTAGGTCAATTCAAGCAGGAGGATCTTAAATATCCTTCAAAATCCTTAGCTATTACTAAGACTAGATATGTGATTCCCACACTGGAGGACACAGTAGAAGGGAGAAAATAGTAACAAACTATTTCACAGTAAGGGAAATACACAAGTTCACAGTCACAGAATCCCTCTCCAACAAATGAGACAAAAGTTGAATACATTACCAAATGACAGAATTGGAGAAGAGACTCATGGATGGATGAGAAAATCAAGTAATACATCTTCATCAAAGCAACACTGTAACTCATAGCCAAATAGAGACAATTTAGAGGATGTTACTGAAATGTCATAAAAAGAATTTAGATTATTTATGGTAACAAAACTCAATGAGATGCAAGAGAAAAGAGAGTTAAGCTCCAAGAGGTGAGGAAATCCTTCGACAATATGAAAGAAGACTGGCACACCATAAAAAAGAATCAAATGGAGTTTGTCAGAGATGAAGAATGTGATTTAAGACATAAAAACCTCCCTCAAAAGTATTAAAAGCAGGTTAGACCATGCAGAAGAATGAATGTTGGAAGTAGAAGAAAAAATCTCTGACTGAGAAAAAATAATTAAAAATACTGAAAAAAAAACAGGCAAGAAAACTGCGGATACTATACAAGAAACACTAGATATCATGAAATGCCCAAACATCTGAATAATTGGTATCCCAGAATGTGAAGAAACCCATAAGAGCATTGATAATTTATTCCACGAAATTTTGGAAGAAAACTTACCAAGTCTAGAGAGGCACTCAAACATCCAGACCCAAGAAATACAAAGAACCCCAAATAGAATCAATCCAAGAAGATCCTCTCCATGGCACATCATATCTAGATTGGCCAAAACTGCAGAGAAAGACACAATACTGGATTGACAAGAGAGTAATCAAATCACTTATAAAGGTTATCTCATCAGGAGAACACCAGACCTCTCACTGGACACAATGCAAGCAAGGAAATAATGGGGAAATATATTCAAAGTGTTAAATGAAAAACAATTTCAACCAAGAATACTATACCTAGCAAGACCATCCTTCATAAGGGAAAAACAAAACCTGAAAGAATTTACCAACTCCAGACCAACTCTTCAAGAAATTCTGAAAGGAGTAAGATACCAAGACTAAAGATAGACAGACAGCAATAAGAGAAGAAAAAACGACTGAGTATATGGCCAAATTATTGGAAAGGACAAGTCTGAAAATATCAATAATTACATTGAATGTTAATGGATTAAGTTCTCTGATCAAGATACATAGACTGGCTGAATGGATTAAAAAATCAGAAACCATTCATCTGCTTCCTACAAGAAACCCATCTCATGGATAAAGACATACATAGACTAAAAGTGAAGGGATGGAAAAAGGTATTCCATGCAAATGGAAACCAAAAAAAGAACAGGAGTCGCTATATTAATTTTGGACAACATAGGCTTTAAGACAAAAAACATAAGAGACAA